ATATCTGAGAGCCAAATTGAATTCAATATTGAGCCATCCTATAAAAACATAGGGTATAAACAAAGGTATAAACACTCCCCGAATCTCTAAGAATCTATTGATATAACTTTTATTGAAAACGGTCAAGTTGTTCAGAACTTACATGATCACAACAGATGCACAGAAGAGTTATAACCTATATATAAGAATTATTGCTATATTAAATCATGTCAATACTGCCGTAAAAGAAAATAGAACTTGAAAAAAATATTGCTTGTATATTTTTATAACTTTGAATCGCTCCAAGAAAAACTTATTAGGGATCTTGTATTAAATGATCAAATTTTCATGACTTTACGAAACTTTGCAAAATTTGAACTTCAGACGCATACAGATAAAACTGTAGGAAAATATTTTTAATATACTTACATTACTACAAGGAAAAATGAGGAGAAACATTTTGCTATATTTTCAGGAATTTTGGACGAGTATAAAAATTGTTATCAAAGTAAAAAACATTGATATACACTACAATATCAAAAGCTCCAGTTATTTAGTTTTTGAGATTTATCCCTCCCCCATATGAACGGTTGTGGTGTCCTCAACTTTTAGTTCAGTGGGTGTAGTATACATAATACACATACTAAACATATTTTGAACTTAAATTACATTAAGTACTTATATGTGAAGTGTATATTATTGTATTAAAATAAAATATATTTAAATGTTTCACATTATATTAGAATGAAATATTTTGTTTTTTTTTTATCCTTCTTAAATCCAATGAACATTTTATATAAATAAATCGACGAACTTAAATGCATTAATATCTGAAATGCATGTTCAATTGTGGTGTATTTTGGTATTTTGAAATCATTTTCGTAAATAAATTGTAATCAATTTTTAAATGTCCTACTATACACAGGTGTGTATACTCTGTTCCATTGACCATTTCGACAGTAAAGGTTTAATTTGATTTAACCTTCTGTTATGATGTTGGCAACACTGTATTTGTACTTGTGTTAAGCTTACTATTAATTTGTTAGTTTATTATGTATGTATGTAACTTTTGTTAAGATGTAAAATAAAAGGAACACATGCTTAACCAGAAAATGAATAATTAAGTTTTGTAATTACCTCACGACATTCCAAATGGCGACGAAGATAAATATACAGCGTTAAAAAATAAACAAATCGTCAATCAAATAAAAGGCTGTAAGCGAGAGTCTGAAGGCAGACGGTAGTCAAGGTGACGTACCACGTGCAGCAAAACAAGGTAGTTCAAGGAGAACACAGCTTAAAGATGACGGGTGTTATTGGATCATTGGCGGAGTTCCAAATGGATGGAGACTGGTCAATTTATCAAGAAAGAATGGAACAATTTTTCTTAGTTAATACAATACCGGAGGAACGCAAGGTACCGTTGTTAATTACATGTATTGGGGAAAAAGCATACAAAACACTAAAAGATTTGTGTGACCCTTTAATGCCATCCGAAAGACTGTATAAGGAACTATGTACTATATTAAATAGGCAGTTCTCTCCTAAAGTGTCAGTCTTTAGACAGCGGGAAGAATTTTATAATTTAAGACAAAATTCTAATGAAAGTGTAAAGGATTGGTATGCAAGAATAAAAAATTCGGCAACAACATGTAAATTTGGAAAAGGATTAATTGATGTTCTTAGAGACAAGTTTATAACTGGTATGAGAAATGGACAAATTAAAGACCGGTTATGCGAAGAAGAAATATCTAAAGAGCTAAACAAAATAGTAGAATTAGCAATGCAGAAAGAAGTAACCATGCAATCAAATGTTCCAGTGGAAGTACACAAAGTAAAAGAATGGAACATATCAAAGGATGTCAAAAAAAAAGTTGGAGCATCAGAATATGGGCAAATAACAAATAAGAAAAAACCAACAGACTTTTCAGACAACAGTAAAGCAGCAGGTCAAGGAAAATGTTTTACATGCGGATTAAGTAACCATACGTTTAATAATTTATTTATTTATTTATTTATTTACGGAATAAATCCATTTACAATATTAATATATAGTGTACAGTGTAAAAAACATATGATGATATTTAGTTTAGTGATTACATATTATTTAAACCTAGATATAGTACAAGTATAGTTTACAATATATTAAATATAATTACATTTAGACTGAATTAACAGTGAACAATTAAAAACATTGAAACAAAACAAAAAATACATTTTAAATAATCAAACATTAAATGCTGATTTAATACTATTTATATTACAAAAAAACAAATCTAAATTAACTGAATTTGCAATAGACATCAGTGAATTTATTGGGGAGGAAAAAGAATAATTGGTTCGTATAATTTTCAAAGTGAATAAATCGTTATTTCTAGTTAAAATAATTTTTGCTTTAAAATTTAATCTTTCTAGTATTTCTTGGCATTCAATTTTGTTATTTAATAAATTAAAAAGAAAAATGTAAGCTAGATATTTTCTACGATTTCTCAAAGTAGGTATGTTGAAAAAACCAGATACTCCCTCATAACCTGAATGTGAAAGGCGTTCTACATTACATTTGAAGGATAAAAAGCGTAAAAAAGAATTTTGAACGGAATCAAGAGTTTGATTTAGAATTAAGGAATTAGGAGACCAAATGAAAGCAGCATATTCTAGTTGAGAACGTACAATAGAAAAATAAATGTTTTTTAATGCGAAATGATTGTTAAAATTTGAACATTGTCGTTTTAAGAATCCTAACTTAGAAGATGCTTTATTTTTTATTTTATTGATATGTTGTTTAAAATTCATTTTTGTGTCGAAAAATACACCTAAATCATTTATTAAATATACACGTTTAATTTCAAGGTTTATAAAATTGTAATTAAAATCAAGAATGGTTTTTTTTTGAGAGAATGAGATAATTGAACATTTATTTATATTTAGTTCCATGCCGTTATTTGTGCACCAATCGTAAAATGCGTCTAAATCTGATTGTAACTTCAAGGCATCAGAAACGGAGTAAATAGTTTTATATAATTTCGCGTCATCAGCAAAAAGTAGAATATTTGTATGTTTTAGTGAAGAAGAAATATCATTTATGTATAATAGAAATAACAGCGGAGAAATGTGGTCTCCTTGTGGAACCCCGGATGTTATAGAAATCGGATTTGAAAAAAACTCATTATATTTTACAATTTGAAATCTTTCTGTTAAAAATGAAGAAAACCATGATAATAGAGGATTTTTTATACCATAATGATTTAATTTAGATATTAATAAGTTATGATCAATTCGATCAAAAGCTTTCTTAAAATCAGTATATATCACATCTGTTTGTGTATTCATATTAAAAGATTCAAAAATGGTTTGTTTGAATGTGGCTAAATTAGTAATGGTTGATCGTTTAGTAAGAAAACCATGTTGTTCTTTGATAATAATGTTTTTTAATATAGGGAATAGTTTGTCATTTATTAATTTTGTGAAAATCTTAGGTATGATTGATATTATTGAGATAGGACGATAATTTAAAACGGATGAACGATCTCCTTTTTTAAATAACGCGGAAATATAAACTATTTTAAAAAGTGATGGAAAAGTTCCAGATGATAACGATTGTTTGAATAAGTAGTGAATTGGATATGATAATATGAAGCGGCAATTATAAAGAAATTTAGGAGATATATTATCTGGACCTGGACATAGATTTATATTTAGATTGTCTAATTCGTTGAAAATATCCATTAAAGAAATGTTGGTATTGCAAATATTTGGTATTGAATTTAAAATGTTATGTTTGTAATTAGGATTTGTTAAGGGTGATGTGTATACACTTGAAAAATATTCTTTAAACATGTCTACTATGGATTGTCCATCGCTTGCCTCCTTGTCATTAAATTGCATTAAATTAGGAAGGTGATTTTTAGGTTTTTTATCGTTAAAAAATTTCCAGAAGTATTTGGGATTTGATATTACATTATTTTGAACATTTTTTAAATATGTAGAATAGTCTATATGTCTTAGATTTTTGCATTTAGTTCTTAGATTTGAAAATTGTATGTAATTTGAATAAGATTTTAAATATTTAAAATTATAATGAGCTTTTTTTTTTTGGTTAATTAGTGATTTAAGTTCATTACTAAACCATATAGGATATGAAGAGTTGCGTTTAATGTAAGTTGGTACAAAGCTATTAATTATGTTAGATAATAACGAGTAGAATAATGAAATATTAGATTCTATATTATTATTTAAAAATATATCCAACCAATTAATCGATGACAGTGATAAATGTATTTGATAGTAATTTGCTTTTTCCCAATCATATACAATTTCATTATATTTTAAATCTTTTATTTTTAAAAGTGAAACAACACAACTTATTTCAAGTGGAGGGTGATATAAATCAACATTTACTACAGGAAACTTATTTAAAATTACATTAATAGAGTTATTGTTTGATATAACATAGTCAAGAATATCATTTTTTGAATTACAAATATTATTAAATTGAAACATATTTAAGAAGGAAATGTTGTCGAAAAAGAAATTTTTTGTATTTGTAGAAATTGCTGAGGGAATATTAAAATCGCCAAGTAAAATGATATCTGAGTTGGGATAGTTATAATATATATCGTTTATTATTTTAAAATATTTTGAATATACTTCTATAACTGCTTTGTTAGGAATATAAATTGAACTTATAATAACGGTTTTATCTTCAAATTTTATTAATACAATAACCATTTCTAACGTATTATCGGATATATTAATACATCGAGAATATAATTTGTTATCAACAGCGATAAGTACTCCGCCACCTCTAGTAAGATTACTATTGTAAGTATTTCTATCACATCGAAAAATATTATATTCATTAAAACCTAATTCTGAACTATTTATATTGTTAGATAACCAGGTTTCAGTAAAAGCATAGACGTTGAAGCAAGATAAGGGAATGCGGGAGTTTAACATATGGGTTTTTGTGTTTAAACCACGTACATTTTGATAATAGATTGAGATAGTAAATGGATTTGACTTTACATGTTTTTTGAGTTAATAATTTGTGGATTTCCTTTTATGTATTTAATTATAATATTGGTTTCTCCTTTTTCGCGACGTGATTCGAGTTCTTTCCGAAGTAGTGCCATTTGTTCTCTTTGTTTGATTGTTCGATCTGATGAAAAACGTATGTCTTTAAAATCCGGAGAATGACGTAGAGTGGATTGTGCACGTAATGTTTCAAAGATAGATTTTTTATCCGCAAGAGTTATTTTTAACGGGCGTGTTCGATCTGAAGGTTTTCCTAAACGGTTAAAATTTATAGGATTATAGTCTACCTTCATTTCTTTGAATATAAGTTTCAAATTGTCACCATCGGATATAGGAATTTGTGTGTTATTTAAATTTTCTGGTAAGTTATACAAGATTATATTTTGAGCTCTTGATTGTCTATCAGCTAATTCATTTAATATATTTAATTCATCCAATTGAGTAGTTAAAGTAGTTTTTTCGATTTGTATTAATTTGTTCTCAAGTTCAGAAATTTTAGTTTTTAAAAATGAATTTTCAGTAGCTAGTTTATTTATTTCAGTAGACAGGTCATCAAATCGTTTATTAAAACTTTTTAAAGTTTTATTTTGTTCATTTATTGAAGTGATCATTTTATTTTGTGTAGACTTTACCTCATTTAAAGATTTTAATATAGAATCTAGTTGATCTTGCATTGTTGAAGACAATAATAATAATGATAAAAAAGAAAAAAGATAATTTATAAGATAGTAGACAATACGATATCACTGATAGGTAATAATATAAATTATGCACTGCACAACATAGTCGTATGACTGCACAACACTAACTTTTAATTTTTAAAATAATATAATAAATAACATTAAAAATGTAAGTATAAAACTTATAAATGTAAAATTTGTAATAAAATAGGACATTTAGCTAAAATGTGTAAAAACAAATCAAAAAACCATTATGTAGAAGTAGAAACTGAGTCAGAATCAGTAGAAATGTTTCAATTAAAAGTAGGTTATCAAAAAAGTGTAGAGCCATATTTTGTGAAAATTAAAATTGAAGAAATATACATTGATATGGAATTAGACTCTGGGGCAGGAAGATCTATAATTCCTTTTAAATTATATAAAAAATATTGGTCTAAATTAAAAGTCATTCCTAGTTTAATTAAATTAAAAACATACAATGGAGAAATAATAAATCCAGTCGGAGAAGTTATGGTTGATATGGAATATAAGAATAAGAAGGAACAATGTAATTTACTAATAGTAGAAAATGGATGTAGAGCTCTATTGGGAAAGATTTAATGAGTTTATTTGGTATACAGTTGGTGGATGTATCAAATATTACAGTAAATAATTTAGATTTTGGTGTAAAAAAGTTGTTAAAAGAATTTGAGGAATTGTTTAAAAATAAATTAGGAAAGTATAAACAAGAAAAAATTACCTTAAAAATAAAAGAAGGAGTAATGCCAGTTTTTTGTAAACCAAGGTCTATTCCATTTGCATATATTGAAAAAGTCGAAAGGGAACTTGAGCGTTTGGAAAAAGAAAATGTGATTGAGAAAGTGGAAAATGCCCAATGGGGTACACCTCTAGTGCCTGTGATTAAGCCAAATGGGACAGTAAGGTTATGTGCAGATTATAAGACAACTATAAATAAGTATTTAGAAGATTATAACTACCCATTACCGAAAGTCGAAGAACTGTTTGTAGCTTTGCAAGGAGGAAAATTTTTTAGTAAGTTAGATTTTATAAACGCTTATAATCAATTGGAAATATGTGAAGATACTCAAAAGTTATTAGCATGGAGTACACACAAAGGTATATATAAAGTAAAGAGATTGCCTTTTGGAACAAAACCGGCTTGTTCAATTTTTCAGCAAGTAATCGAAAAAGTCCTACAGGGTTTAAAAGGTGTAAAGAATTTTTTGGATGATATCATTGTAACAGGAGTAGACGATGAAGATCATTTGAACAATTTGAGAGAAGTTTTTAAAAGATTACTAGATGCGGGTTTTAAACTAAATGTGAATAAATGTTGTTTTTTTCAAAAGCAAGTAAATTATTTAGGACATGTAATTGATGGGGAAGGAATAAGGAAAGATAAAGATAAAGTAAAAGCTATAGTTGAAGCAAGAATACCACAAAATGTGACAGAGGTTAAAGCTTTTGTAGGCATGATTAATTACTATGCCAAATTTATTCCAAATTTGTCTACACTGTTGGGTCCTATGTATAAGCTATTAAAAAAAAATATTACATTTAAATGGACAAACCAATGTAATGAAGCTTTTAATAAGTCCAAGGAAGCAATAACATCAGATTCGGTATTAGTACATTTTAATCCTGAAATACAAATAAAACTTTTATGTGATGCTTCTGAATATGGGGTAGGTGCTGTTTTAGTTCATGTTTTTTCTGATGGAACAGAAAAACCTATAAGTTATGCTTCAAGGGTATTAACGGTAGCTGAAAGAAAATATGCTGTGATACAAAAGGAGGCTCTAGCTATTTTCTGGAGTGTAAAAAAATTTTCACAATATTTATTAGGCAGAAAATTCATTTTATGTTCGGACCATAAACCATTGTTAGCATTATTTGGGGAACATAATGGCATTCCACGTATGGCATCAAATAGATTACAACGTTGGGCTTTATTTTTGTCAGAATTCGATTATGAATTAAAATATGTGCAAGGCAGAAATAATTGTGCAGCTGATGGGTTGTCCCGTTTACCATTGGAAATTAAAAGTGATGAAAATGATAACGAGTACAGTTATATAGATTTTGTGGAAGGAATGATACCTTTAGATGTGTTGAAAATTAAAATAGAAACAAGGAAAGATACAATACTAAGTAAAGTTTATAGTTGGGTTGAAGAAGGGTGGCCAGAAAAAGTTGATTTAGAATATAAAGGTTATTTTATTAGAAAAAGTGAACTAAATATTGAAAAAGGTGTAATTATGTGGGGCTATAGGGTAATTATTCCAAATAAGTTGAGAATATTTTTATTAAAAGAGATACATAGCACACATGACGGTATTGCAAAAATGAAAGCGGTTGCCAGATCTTATTTTTGGTGGCCTGGACTTGACAAAGAAATAGAAAGTTATGTTAAAAGTTGTGAAGTCTGTGTATCATGTCAGGCTAGTCCAGTAGTAGATAGGCAAGCTAAGTGGGCAGAAGCCGTTGGTCCTTTAGACAGAGTACATTTAGATTTTTTGTATTTAAATAACAAAAATTATTTAGTATGGATTGATGCGTTTACAAAGTGGCCTGAAGTTATAGAAATGAGTAAAATGAATAGTGGGTATTTAATTGAGAAACTGAGGGAGATTTTTGGACGTTTTGGCTTACCAAATAAAATCATTTCTGATAATGGTCCACAATTTCGTTCTAGTGAATTCATAGAATTTTGTAAACAAAATGGAATTGTATTTTATACATCACCACCTTTTCATCCTGCTACAAATGGTGCAGCTGAAAACGCAGTTAAATCTCTTAAAAGAGGAATATACAAGGCATTAAAAGATAAAATTAATAAAGGTGTGACTGTGAGTACATTAATAAACAGATATTTATTCATGTATAGAAACTCACCACATTGGACAACAAATGAATGTCCGGCAAAATTAATGTTTGGGCGAAAGTTAAAAACTCGTTTAGATTTTCTAAGACATTCAAAAATAAAGAAAAATACTGAGAGTTATAAAAATAAAACTATTAGAAATGAAGTTTTCAAGGAAGGAGATGTAGTCTATGCGAGAGATTTTTCTAATCCAAATAAAAAAAATTGGGAAAAGGCAGTGATAGAAGAAGTGTTAGGAAACAGAAATTATATAGTTAGACTTGAAGATAAAGAGTTAGTATGGAGAAGACATATAAATCACATAATTAAGTTGGAAGAATTTAGTAAGTATGATGACTATATAAAAAACTATGAAAAAGAGTTTTTAGAGGAAGTTAAAGAAAAAGAGAAAGAGATAAAAACACAGGAGTTAGAAATTAAAAAAGCTAGTGAAAAAGTTGATGAAAAAGAGAAACAGAATATTACAGATGTTAATGTTAATGATAAATTTAGTTTACCTGAAGTTAAACAAAATAACGTTAGGCCTGTTAGAAACAAGAAGTCACCTAAACGTTTAGATTTATAAAAAAAAAAAAAAAAGTAGAAAAGTATTAGGAAAATGATTTTAAATTGTATAATTAAATAAAAAGATATTGTTTGTTAACATTAAGTATATGATTATTTTGTATTATTATTATGTATTATTTTTAATAAGATTTATGTTGAGTTCTGTAACAATATTATGTTTAGCGTTTACTATTAAAATGATGTTTTACATTTAGGATTAAGGTGTTATGATGTTGGCAACACTGTATTTGTACTTGTGTTAAGCTTACTATTAATTTGTTAGTTTATTATGTATGTATGTAACTTTTGTTAAGATGTAAAATAAAAGGAACACATGCTTAACCAGAAAATGAATAATTAAGTTTTGTAATTACCTCACGACATTCCACCTTCCAAACCAAGTGAATGGACTATAATAATACACCGTGTGGTCACTCATTACAATATATTATTATTTAATATTTTCATATTATTCTCTTTTGTTTCGTTAAATGATTATTGTACAATAATAAAGACACTCAATGTGCGGTGGCGCGAACTTTTGTATCGAGGTAGAGGCTCGCAGTGTATATTCTACCACTTATTAGAGGTACGTACCTTTACTTATTATGGGTACTTATATTGGGTTTGAAAACACCCTTATTCAGGATATACTTCTAGTTGCTACATCGTAGTGTTTAAGTACATATGTAGTGTTATAATATAACATACACACACGAAGAGCTTCGAAATATAATATACTTTCACGCTGCATACACATCGTACATGTTTGATGTTATATATTTTATACACTTGTCACACATACACACATACACACATATACAGGGCCATTCACCAAGCATGCTCACCCCTTTTTTATTTTAACTATGAATTCATTCAAATTCCTATTTCTTAAGCTTTTAAGTATACTTATATAGGACCATATTTTCAATTATTTAAATTGTTTATACTATTCAAGGAGTGCTTGTACTTTTGTGATAATCCAAATTATTATTTTTCAGATAAGAACCAAACTTGTTCACTGTGAATTGTTAAGCAAATTATTTATTTTTTTGAATTTTTATTTATTCATTTAAAATTTGGGCGAGTAGATCTTGAGTTAATAAAATGTACATATTAAGGATAATAGTCTTTAAAAAAAGAGGAAAGTAGGTAACCACTCTGCTGTAGACTGTAGGTGTCGAGTACTCGAGAGTACCTCGCCATTGAGTAAGTCACTGTAATGCATTTCAGTATTTGTTACTTTTGAATTCAATGATAAATCGTTACATAATATAAACGATTCTGAGCGAAGACTGTCTGTCTGTATATAAGTCTGTCTGCCTATATATAACCAAGTTTGTATTATTACTTATATATATTTTATATCATATATTATTGTTTGGAACTTTTGAGTCAATACCGACTTACCTTAGACCACCCGTAGTATAAATAGACAATAGCCAATAGCATACAATTTTTTAATAAAGTTTATATACAAATATTGTACAAGTACAACATAATATTTATATATTTTTTAGATTATATTATATTTTTAGATAGACAAATTGATAGATTTATAATATGAATTATTAAAATTGTTAAATCATCTCATATTATTATCCCCCTTATCTTTGAATTTCCAAACCCATTATCATGGACCACGTCTTAACCTTAGCACACAAAGTAAAATAACTCAAAACTGTTAGTTCAAATTTTGATTTACATGGTAGGTACATTGAAGAAAATGTTTCTATAAAAAGTCTTCTAATAAACTGCAATTTATAAGAAAAATTGTTATTTATATTTGATAAAAAGAAATTGGTAATGCCACTGATACTCCTTAAATGGTATTAAAAATCTAAGTACTTATTTTAGAATATGATATAATACCTAAAAATACCTAAAAATTCTAAAAATCAGAATATGAATGAATTCATAACTAAAGGAAAAAATGGGATGAGCCTGCACTGTGAATCATCCTGTATATGTATCTAATATATATATAATATTATGATGTACAATAAGTGATGAAATGTTCTCAAATATCGTGTTCGAGGTTAATGTCTTATAAGGATTGATGTAATAACTATATAGGTACTGCGTGCCAATTTATAGGAAAAACATATACATAGAACGCAATAAATCGTGTTTTCTAGGATAGTCGCAAACGCGTCTTTAGATATAATGAACTAAACCGACACTCGAGTTAGTCGAGTGTCGAATAGTCTTAAATAATGTATATATATATACACATAATATTATGTACATGTGTATATTCATTCGCCGGCAGTTGACTGTATATTATATACTTTAATAATAATAATAAGGTGAACAAGATATGTTGTGTGCGTGCTGTACGTATATTATATAATATATTATATATAAATATAAGTCATACATGCTCAGTTCGCAGTTTGAATAAATTTTCTCCGTCATCGTCGTCCGGCCGGATCGGCTGCTGCAGATGGTGTGCGAATAATAAATTGTAAAGGACAAACATACACATATATAGAGTGCAGGTCCATTAGCAGTGACGGCGGCATTTTGTGACTGACCGAAAGGGTTTGCTTTGATTATTATATATACCTACCATGGTTATACACGCATTTCGGGTTCAACACGTGCCCGGCCGGTCATATATGCTTAAAATAATAATAACGTCCGCATATAGGAGTACAAAACAAATAACTATACACACTGATGCGTTCGGCACACCGGTGGGCGGGTGGAGTGGTGCCTTTGCGGGGTTGCGACTAATTCAAAAAAATCATCTTTTGTTAATATTATATTATATCCACCTACATCGTATATTATAAGAATAGGACGAAAATCGAATCGTATATGACGCGCTATATTTGCACAATAACAATAATAATATACCATATTATAGATAGGTACACCGATATCGTTTTATAATCCGTAGGTATAATGTTATATACGCGTTGCAGTAATATTATATTATGTTGTGTATTGCAAGTGTAATAATTACTTGAGAGAGACTTAATATATGACATATCCACATAGCCGAAGGATTATATCGATCGGCACTAGTTATTTCTCTGATTGGTTAAAATGTTATTATATTTTTGCTCGTAGGTTTGTTAAAAGCGTATTTTGGATTCTATAAGCATAGCAATGGCTTAAAAGTGATGTGTGTCTTTTTGGTATCAGAAATCATAATTCAACCTATATAATATCGAGAGTGGTGTTTGGGGCAACGAATTGGAATGTAGGAAGTCAAAAATAATAAAAAACTACGGAAAGTGGGAATATTTATCCAATACCGTGGATTTTTGACAAAAACAATTTTGTTTTTTATTGTTGTGATTCGAAAATTGACAACCATAGAAACTTGAAATTTAACGATATATTATTACTGGCATTTTCTAGGCATCATATAATTCAAAATATTTTGGTTCTTTTTAAACTTTTTACAAACATTTGAAATTTTATTTTTTTTTTTATGTTGAAAAATGGTATTTTCTGTGTAAAAGCTAGAAAATTCTCTTTGGAAATTGTCTGCATTACTTTAATATTTATTTTCTACTCATGATATAATTTTAAAAGTATTTAGGCTAATTTCTAATAATGTAAGTACCAATCTACCTGTACACGAACCAATTCACACCATTCTTCAGCACATAGGTACCTATGTAGACTTATATAACTTAACAATAATAATATATAGGTATACTATATAATATTATAGTAATTATTAAGTTGGCTGGAGCGTAGTCTATTCTAAGGAGTAAAAACTAGGCATTTTATATTTCAGTTCATATAAGTCTTGTGAATGTGTTGAAAGTAAATGAACATTAGTGTGTGTAATTCGTAGTACCACACTTAAAATCAGAAAAATGAAATTGTAAAAGCATAGATAATTTAGTGACGAATTCAAATCTGCTTTCAAAATTAATATCAGAACATTATATTGGGCGTAGTGATTGAAGTCGTGAGCTATGTTTTCGACTGAAAATTAATTACAATCCAGCCCCCTTAATAATAAATAATATACTCGATGATTTTGTTAAAACAAATTTAGGTACCGTAATAAAAGAATTATTTATTTTTATTTTATTGGTCTGGTTAAACTTAATCGGCTTAATCCACTAGTTTTTCCACATTTATATATATATATTATATAATATTAGATTTTTTTTTTTCAAATATATTTTGTATATGTACGTAGGAAGAATATTATTTCTTAAATTCGGTTGTCCAGCCCGGTGTCATTTGGAAAGGAGATGAGGTTGCACGATATCTCTGGTCCTATGGATTCGTTAAGGACTTGAATCTTGCTTAAAAACAAATTTTAGGCACTATTATAACTTATAAGTTAAGAGGTTATAATATTATATAAATATATCATAAAAAGTCCCTATAGAAATACAGGCTGTCAGTTGTCACCGACCGTCTCCTCCCTCAGAAGCATTTTTCGTGAACAATGGTTTGTCGTTGAATTGAAATTCAACACATAGCCATTTCGGTGACCTATACAATTCGATGACGGGGTAGGTACACTCAAACCTACTATACAGCAGACCCAAGCCCCAAGCCCGTTATTTTCTTGCGGTTTTTACCTTCCCGTTTATTATGAATCTTTGAGAGATTTTATCATTTACGCATGAAGTACGACGAAAAATTAGGCACTCCCCTTACGACCACCCCACCGCCTTTTATCATGTGAAATTGGAACTATTATATAGTTATGAACACTGCTTCCACCCGCTAATGCGTACAGAATCAATACATTTATCATGTGTATAGTATATATATATATATATATATATATATATGTATATATATTATATATAGTATATAGATAATATGGCAAACTTATATTCGAATTCATTGATGATGCGCGACGTGTATTTATTTGGACAATATCTGAAATAACAATTGTTTTCGTGGAAGTGATAAAATCGAAAGGGATGAAACGTTCCAAACCATATTTTATATATATTTATATATAATATAATAGAAGACAAATATTCATATAGCGAAGTAGCCGCATGAACCCGCCACGAATGACAACCA